TTGAGCCTGGCCTAGCCCCTCTTGTTCCTGCTCCATATCAATGATTGGTTGGGGGGGGGGCGCCAAAATACTGTTTGCTTACCATTGAAAATTACCTAGGGCCGCCTCTGGGTTTCCCCTGATATTAAGTATAGTGATGCTCAACTCTGGGCGGTGGTGCTCATCTCCATTTCGAAGCCAAAGAGCCAGCGTTGTCCGTAGACCCTTTCAAGGTCATGTGGCTAGCCGGCATGACTGCATGGAGTGCCTTTACCTTCCCACCAAGGCAGTACCTATTGATCTACTCACATTTGCATGTTTTCGAACTGCTAGGTTGGCAGAAGCTGGGCCCAATAGTGGGAGCTCAACCCGCTCCCCAGATTCAGACCACCAACCTTTCAGTCAGCAAGTTTAGCATTTCAGTGGCTTAACCCACTGCACCACGAATGGTATCATAGATAAAAAGGACTGGAAGAAAGCCAGTGTGGTCTAGTGGTCTGAATGTTGAAGCTCAAGTTTCAAATTCCTGCTCAGTCATGGAAAGCCATTGGCTGACCTTGACAAGTCAAACTCTCATCCTCAGAGGAAGGCAAAAGAAAACTACTCTCAGAACAAATCTTGAGATAGTGTCACCCTAAGCCAGAAACAAATTTAAGGCACACAGCAACAGCTGGAGTGAGAAACTATCATGGCCTTGGTCTTTATTGTCATGAAGGAGGCTGCTGAGAATAAAATTAGGAAGAATCTCTGATCTTTTATGGGAATTGCAGTACAAAAATATGTGGGGGGCTAAAGTTAGCTATCCCTATTGTCAAGAGGCCCTGTATACAAAGAAAGGGTGACAACAGGCTTGTCATTCCATCTTCAAATTCTTTAAGAATTAATATCTAGCTTCAGACACTGAATACTCCTCAATAAATAGGCCAATCAACTTGGCGGTTTCGTTCAGATTTCAGGACAATAGTCTCCATCTTCTTGCTTTGGGGAAGTCTTTACTGGCATAAGAAAGGCAACAAAACCTTGATATTGTTGTGAGTCAGTTTCTTGCCACCCCAGAGCTCCCCAAGAGGATAGCAAACAAAAGAACGCGGAGGGGGGAGGCTCTGTTGCATAAACATCTCTTGCAATATTACACTGTATTTCACCTCCTTCAGAAATCAATCTTCTCTCAAGCATGTATATCAGAATTTATGTGCAATGCTTTTACTGGGTAATCTCCACTGGCAGCATTTTTACAATACCTTCTATCATTTGGAACTATAGGGAAGTGAACACACAGCTACCCATATTTGACTAACCTATTCTGCTGCTAGACATGCAATCTGTATACAGGCAGAGTCAACAAACAATAAGAAATGGAACAACAGTTAGCACTGGAAAATGTATCTCAAAGAGCAGCAGTGATAGCAACATGGTCAGGTCTGCAGAGCAGCCTACAGGATGTGACCTTGTCAGTCATCACAGGAGACGTTTGCTGGTAGTAGGGGACTCCCTCCTGAGGTGAACATAAGCTGTGATTTGCAAATGTGATAGGATGTTTCAAGAAGTATGCTGTCTCCCTGTGGCAAAAATTCACCATGTAACTGAAGAGACTCACTAAGCCACTCACCACCACCCTTTCCTGTTGGTTCATGTGGGAACAGAAGCCCCCCCCCCCCCCCCGAAATTCTCATGGTGGTTCACGAGAAGGCCTTACTGGTGCATTATTTAAACTGTTATGTTTATTCATATCATGATCTGATCACCATGCTCAATATATGCCATATGCATGGGGGTATTGGGGTAACAATACAAAAGGTTTGCTAGGGTAGACCCTCTTTCACTCAGACTCAGCCCCCCCCCCCCGAAACAAAGTAAGCCTCCCCCCGAATCGAAATCCTGGCTACGGGCCTGTGTAGGAACCAACAATACTGCATAGTCTTCAGAAGATCAGAAAGGATTTTGAAACTCTCAGAAGAAAACCAACAGATCTTAATGTACAAGTTGTCTTTTCATCTCTTCTCCCAGTTGCATGATGCAGTAGGAAGAACAAGAAAAATAGTAGAGGCGAACAACTGACTCTGTAGATGTGTCAGGAAGAACTATTTGGCTTCCTGAATCATGGTCTGCATTTTCGGGAAGATGGGCTTGATTGAGTTGGAGTGCTATTGGCTATTTTCAATTTATATTACTTAGTCATTTCCTCTGATTTGTTTAAGCTACTTTATTGTCATTATTGGGATTTGGGGCTTTATTTATTACCTTGGGGGTTTCTAATTTTTAATTGTTAGTTTATACTATGTAGTTGCTGTTGATTCCATTTTATTTAGATATGATATAGTTTGTCTTGGGTTACCTTTGGGAGAGGAGCTCTTGATGGAGAGGGTGGGCAAGCTACCATTATAGGTTCTCCCCAGTTTATAAGGTTTTTCTCCTTTTCTATCATTTAGCCCCTCTTGCCTTTCCTTTTTTGACCACTTCCCTCCCCCCTCCCCCCTCCCCTTTTTTTACCTCAGCAGTTACTACTTTGGCTCCTTGTTGGCATGTGGCTTGAAGTCTTGGCTCTGCTTGTTTTTTCTGACATTTCTTTTCTTTCGCTGTGAGAATGTGGCTTCCAGCAGCTACAGTACTTGTTTTGCAGCTGTGGTACTTTTTTGTGCTGCGGTACTGGTTTTGCGGCCAACCGTGGGTACGGCTAACGAGGTGCGCCAATGTGTCATAGTACTATTTAGCGTGTAGGTGTGGGCTCAAAGGATGAGTATGGCGGTGAATAGCCGCATTTAGCAGGGCACCCAGTTGCTTGGTTTAGTGGTCTCCTTGGTGGGGTAGCATTGCTGCTGGCTGCTCCTCTTGCATCTCCCTCCCTCCCTCTCTCTTGATCTCATCTAACTGAGCCATTACTGCTCTAGTACTGCTCTGGGTGTCTTTGGCTCAGCTGGGGTGAGGCCAAGGTGGGGAGGGGGTTGCACCTCTGAACAGTGAGGCGGGAAGGCAGTAGGAACATGGCGAGACCTTTGTTCTTGTTCTAGCCCGTACCTCTCATGCTAGCTCGCAACTGGGATCTAGCTCATAAATTGGAGCAAAAAAAAAAAAAAAAATGAGCCAAGCAATGGCTTGTACCTCAAAAAACTTGCAAGTTTGGTCACCCGTAAGTCAAGGTTCCATTGTATTTTACTAGTCAGGCCGTCAGGTAGCCAGTGTTTACCTTATTAAAAGTCTGCAAAATGGCTATTTTAACTGCATCTTATCCAGCATCTTATCCAGCATATTCTGGTATGTTGTTACTATCTTAATCCCACTAAAACAAGGCCGTCTGGTCTCCATTGCCACCTTAATTTTATAGATAACTGTGATACCTAAGCCATCCCAAAAGGATTAAAGCAAGGATGGGCAATTGTGTAGGAACTTGCCTAAATGGGCTTCCATTTCCTACTATATTCTGATCGAAATGGTCACCGAAAATAATGTCATCTGAAAAAAGGAGATATGGGGGTGAGTCTGAAGGAATTAGAGTATTATGTGAAGGCCCTGTGGCACGAGGTTTTCATGTGAGGGTGTTGCAGGAATATTTCCACCAATTTCTTTTAATTTGGGGTTTGTGGGATTGGAAAAATAGAGCTGTGAAAGTGAGGTCTAGGAGCCAACTTTTCTCCACCCGATTTATGGATGTTGTACCAATCATCTAGTGCTTCTATAATATTTGTTGCTAAATATAGTCACGGGAACCTGAAGTGCAATTTTACTGAGATTGGAATGAAAAGGGAAGCTGGCACTGCCCTCTGTTCCAACTATCCTTTGATGTTTCTCCAAACAGTGTCCTCCATCCACCAATTCTTGGTACATTTTCAATTCCTAGCATCAACTGACTCCCATATCTAGTATAGTCCATTTCACCACCAGTACTTAGAGCAAGGGTGGCAAAGTTTTATAAGCATTCAGCCTCAGGATATGTTCAGGGCCTCCATTCTAGGTAAGATTAAATAGATCACTCTAGGATGGAGGATGGATTTTAAAATATTGGGTTTTAAAAAAACATGATCAATTTGACCAGTTTGTGGCTAAATATATATAAACTGCAGGTGCCTTCTCAATCTAAATGGGACACTCGAGCAAGAACAAACCAAATATTATACAGACAACATTTAAGCCTAGTGGTTTTGGGAAATTTGGAATCTGGACAAAAACCATAGGATTCTATTTTAATCCTTATCACTGTACAAAATCCACAGGTCATGTCTATCTCCTGATGCACAGGTGCTATTTGCCCTGCAAGGGAAAATAACAATACAATATTGGTATCAGAGAGGAAGTAATGCCCATGAGGGCTTTTGCTCAGCAGATAACTTCATTTCCTTCCCTCTTTAGAATTGGTTCACTGAAAACTGGGAAAGGCCCTTGTACCTTTAATGGTTGTGTAGAAGAGGAGATTTCAGCAAGTGGCAGTCATGTAATTTGGCTTGGGGGGCTTCAGCCCCCCCCCCCCGAAATTCTGATGGTGGTCCGCGAGAAGGCCTTACTGGTACATTATTTAAACTGTTATGTTTATTCATATCGTGATCTGATCACCATGCTCAATATATCCCATATGCATGGGGGTATTGGGGTAACGTGGCAAGCCTCTTCTGTCAGTTTATAGAAGTGAAGCTTCCTGCATATTGGGCTTTGTTCTGTCCAGCCATTTCTTTGCACACATAGAGAAATAAATCTGGGGCTCTTTTGAATGAGATGGTTGTAGCCCTTCACTCTTCCACTCTAACCTCCCTGGCTCCATCCTATAGAGTCCTGGTGTTTATAATTTGGACCAGAGGAACTTCCGGGATGAGAATTCTGGATGCCCATTGCCAATTTTTCAATCCCAGCATTTTACAGGAAGTGGCCATGACAAGTTAAAGTGGAATCGTAGTGTAATCATTACATAGTACAAAAGTTGTCATTTATTTTCTGAGTCAGAACAGCTTGTTCTGTGCAGTTGTGTCTTTCTTTTCTCAGCAGTGGCTCCCCCCCTTTTTTGGCTCATGTTCTTCTTTTTCTTCCCCTGCCAGAGATCCCCCAGTGTGCCGGCTGCAACCAGCATATTCTGGATAAATTCATCCTGAAAGTCCTCGACCGGCACTGGCACGGCTCTTGCCTCAAGTGTGCAGATTGCCAAATGCAGCTGGCAGACCGCTGCTTCTCCAGAGCTGGGAGCGTCTATTGCAAGGAAGACTTCTTCAAGTAGGTGTAGAAAAACTTTCCTGCATTTTTGTCAAGTACCACCTTCTTGGAAAGAAAGTTGCTGCTTATAGGGCTTATCAGTTTTTCTTGAAATAGTTTAGATGAGGCAGTATGATGGTTCAGTCTATAATCTAGGAAGCTCCTGGTCTGTGCTTCAGTGAAATCGCTACATTATTATTATTGTATTGTCAAAGGCTTTCATGGCTGGAATCACTGAGTTGTTGTAGGTTTTTCGGGTTATATGGCCATGTTCTAAAAGCATTCTCTCCTGACGTTTCGCCTGTATCTATGGCAAGCACCCTCAGAGGTAATGAGGTCAGACCTCACAACCTCTGAGGATGCTTGCCATAAATGCAGGCGAAACGTCAGGAGAGAATGCTTTTAGAACATGGCCATATAGCCCGAAAAACCTACAACAACCCATTATTATTATTGTTTATTTATACCCTGATTTTCTCTCCACAAGGAGCCTCATTGTCTCAAGCAAGTCCCTTTTGTATGGGGACATCGTTGGTATAAATGTTACTGATGTTAATTGCTTAACATAAGTGCTTGTTGTTGTTGTTTAAACCTCTGATTACGAATACTTCCTATGGTGACATCTACACTGACCATTTAGTGCAGCTCCAAGTTAACTCAAAACCACGGTGGCTACAAAATGCATGCTACCATTGTGCGTATATAGCACATTAAAGAAAGCAGCAAGGAAGACAAAGTTAAGCCCTTTAATGCACTGCAGCACATCCCAATATATCCGAGATCCCAGGATGAAATTGGCTCTGCAGAATACAGAGCACATTAGAGGCACCTGCCCTTGCTGAAGAATTTTATAGAATTAGGAACTAAGGAGCTGCTGAAAAATGTCCCAAAGGAATGGCTGGCTAGCAGGGGACTAAAACTTGGCTACCTCCACCCTTGAAACTTTTTCTTTTGTTTTCCCATCTCCTATGCCTCTGGAGCACTGATATGCAGCTCTCCTGGAAAAGTGGGGGGGGGGGGAGGGAGAGTTGACAACAACAATGACCACAACACATAACAAGCCGCAGAGTGGTTTGATATCATGTTCTATGCCTCATACCAATTCCAGACCTGTCAATCTAAGTGCCGGCACAGTGAAACCAGTTCCTCCCAAACCGTTTTCAAGCATGATTCTTAGCAATTACCGCATGTTGATTTCTTCCATATGACACTTTTAGTTAGGAATAACTTTTTATTTTCTTACAATGGTAATAATAATAATAATAATAATAATAATAATAATAATAATAATAATAATCTTTATACCCCGCCACGATCTCCCCAAGGGGACTTGGGGCGGCTTACATGAGGCCAAGCACAACAGTACATTACAGTAAAATAAAACCAAGACAACTTAAATTAAAAAATAAGACAGTTAGGAGGGTTTATATTTTTTATAAGGATTCCTGTCTACATTTTTCTTCTCAGAATGGTTGACGCAGCCATTCAGACTGCAATCCTATATATTTAGATAAAAGTAAGTCCTTTTGGGGAAAATACTTTACTTCTGAGGAGCCACATATAGGGTTGCAAGATAAGAGACCTGTAATCCTTTCTGTCCTTTTGAAAGGGGCTGCCTTGAGGTGCTTGGGACATCTGTATTGTCCTCTTGTGCTAATGGCCAAATTAAGCCTGCATAGGAAGAAAGGGGGAGTTTGAGGGAGAGAGAAACACTGCGATGGACACATCATAATTCAGCGCAAAGCACAGCTAAAAACCATCTACAACACTAAATTTCAAGCCGTGTACTAAATTATTGTAATAAAATCAATTTCAATAGTTTCTCGAACTGCTAAGCAATCTTGTCCCTGTCTTCAGTACATGGAGTCAGAGGAAATGAAATGCTCCTGTTATTTGTCAGTCACCCCTACATTTGCAGTCACTGGTCAGAACACTGGAAGCCAGGATCTGTTTTATTTTCTTATTTTATTACTGGGCAACTGGATCAAATCTTGCCCCTGCAGGAAAAAATGGCTGAGGTATAACGATGTGTGCGCTTCAATGAAAGATCTCCAAAATAGCATTGGGAAGCGACCCTTTGAAACCTTTTCCTTGGTGGCTGATTTGTCACAGCTCCACTGGTGGCAAAAGGTTAGCATAAACACCCCTCCTGCAGGGAGCTGTGCAGTGGCTTAACCTAAGGCACCCTCCAGCATGAGCAATCCCCCCAAGCTGTTTTGCATTAGAAATAAATCCCCTTTACCTTAATATTTCTCCTAATCAAACCCTGATCTGCTCCTTGCAGCTGCTTTGCCCCAGTGAGGGGGACTCTCGGCATGGCAAAGGTTGGGTAGAACAAGGTCATGGCCTCTCTGGGATCAGCTCCAAGTAACTCGGTGACCCAGTTACTTTGGTTAACAGCTGATGCGATGCCCTGTCAGTCATAAGGACCAGATATAGACAAAAAAAAGTAAGGAGTATTTCACAATGAAGGCAGAAGTCAGTCATCTTGACCTAGCTAGTTCTTGTAACTCAGGAGAGGGCAACATACCCCCTTGATCTGATTTTGGGGCCCTCTTCAAATATTTGTTTTGGTGCTCAAACTGACATCTGATATCACAGACTTTCCTCAGGAGGGGTAATTTTGCACCACTTCGATTCCTTCCAACATGTCAATGCCGAAAACTAGTCACTCCTACTTTTGATTTAAAAAAACAAAACTAAGTGTCATGGAAAATGGTAGATAATTGGCTGTTGGACCAGCCAAAGTTGCCTTCCCCTTTAAGAGATAGACCCAATCTAGTCCGCTATTATTGTTTTGGTTTTTCAGTTTTGAATGAGTTACATGATTTAGCTTAACACAAAATAATGGTAATATATTTTACAATAACACAGACTGTGTTCTAAATGTAAAATGGATATATTTATCTACCCTGTCTCTTGAGGATGACCTAGAAAATTGTATCTATTTAATTTCTTGATTATATGTTACATATTTGCATTTGATGTATTTTGTGATGTGAGTATTTATTAAGGTCACATGATTTATTGGTTCTTCTTTAAGCTTGTGGGTCATTATACAAGTTCATTTTTTGAAAACTGGCATCAGGGTATTATGATACTTGAAGAGGCATCCTTTCTTCTTGAGATTCTTCTTTGAACTCATTTCTGTTACTTTGAACCAACACGGTGGCCTTTGAATTACAGTGTGTGTGTGTGTGTTAAGACTAATGAAATCGTTGCCATTTTTGAACTGCACAGCACATTTCATTGGGAAGGGGGAAATTAGATACAAATATATTTTGGAATGTCTTCAATGCAAATTCCAACAAGGACGAAAGTAGTAGGGAGGCATGTCCCTCCTCCTCACACCAATTTTAAGAGCCATGCCAGTAGGCTCTTCACCTTCTGCTGAACTTGGCCTCAAAGATGCCTTGGAAGAGAACCCATTGGAAGAGGCCCATACTAGATCAAGTTATCAATTCTTTCAGCCCTGTATTCTTTACTTTTGCTGACAGATCCAAGGTCTTAATGGGGCTGAAGATGTTTGCTCTATTGGACTACAGTAGTCTTCTCACTGGTGCCACCATGGACATTGAACTCAGGACCTTACACATGAGATGCCTGCGTTCTACCAGTCCTCTGATTATTTACAAGCACTATATTATATCAGTGACTGCTAGTAATTCCCATGTTAGTGGAGAAATGGGCATCACTAGAAAATAAAACATCGATTTTCTGACATTAACCCAAAGTAAGAGACATGTACTAAGGTTACAGGAAAATGGCAAAATAATAATAATAATAATAATAATAATAATAATAATAATAACTTTATTTATATACCACTCTATCTCAGGGCGGTTTCCAAGCATCACCAAAACATACAGAGTAAACAGAATAACAAAATTAACAAAACAACGTAAGCATAAAATTATCACAATTACACACATATATTAAAAATAATCCTGCCTGTTCAGAGCAATTATACTCCTTCTGCTACTTTTAAGCTGTAACATCTGGTTTCATACACATACCAATCCCTCTTAAATTTTAAGTTCCTAAATTTTGTTTACTGAGGATAATTATTCTTTGATTTTTCTTCCTTTTTCATGGCTCTCCTCCTCCTCAATTATTTCTATATGGCCTGTAAAAATAGAGCAATGAATTATATTATATATTTTGTTTATAATACAAATAACTAGAATGGCAACATTAAAAATCTCATCATGAAGAATCACAAAATACAAAATATGGTATATACCAGAACCAATTAAAAATGGGCTCAATTATCCAGGACTTTAAGGCCCATTTAAAATAGCCATGGAAGAAGCCAAGCATGCCTCCCTTCAAGACTTCCTTATTTAGGAGACTTAGGAAAGCTTCCATATCAAAACTTTTGTTAATTTGAAGTTGTGATCCAGCTGTAGTTTATTCAGTCATGTTTTCTGTAGTAGCCAATGGTACTCTGAAGATAAAAGCTATTTTTAATTTTTTAATTGTAATGGAGATGTGGCTTGTTTTTTAGCATGTGATGGAAAGCTTTCTTTTTTCCATTGTTTTCTGTATTTTGCCTACTGGGATCTCAGAAACCTGGGATCATTCTTGGCCATTGAGCTAAACTGTGATAGCCATTGCAAGTCCGAGTTTGGAATTGCAGCAACCCACTATATCAGTGTTACCTGTCAACCTATCTATATTCCTGTTTTTTAAAGGGAAAACTATGTATTATGTTGCTTGTTGATAAAGTAATACCTTATGCATATGGGGCTAGGGCAGAATGTCACCTTATAAGTGAGGTGGCCAGAGGGTGTTCTTTTCCTTCTGTTTTTAAACATTCACATAAAGATCCTGCCCCCATAGGGAGAGCAAGTCTTTTGCTGGCTCAGCATTTCTTGGGCAGCATCAGTACACCTTCAGGAAAGTCCTGGGAGATATTGATTGCTTCCTGTGATGTCACTCAGCACTTCTTTGGAGATGTATTAGTGCTGCCAAGGTGTCATGGGAAAAAAGGATCCTAAGCTTCTCTACAGCACAGAGAA